AATAGTTCTAAAGGTTGTAAATTTTCCAAAGACCCTAAGAAGGGTTCTAGAGGTTCTAAGAAAATTCTAGGAAATCTGAAGAACCTAAATCGTTCCAAAGGTCCAATAAAGGTTCTAAAAATTTTCAAGAAGGTTCCAATATGGCGCTAAGCAGGTATGTTGGCCTAAGTAGAAAATCTATAATCGTTCTGGGGCAGGAAGTGACCTCACAGTCAATTAGAATCGAACAGAATTCTCTACGTCCCTCCCCTTGGATCCGCCCGTCACTTTCTTAGTCACTATTCTAAATCCGCCATTGGACCCGCTGCATGTCTGGCTCCATCCGCCATCTTGGATGTTATTTTGGACCCGCCACCTTGAATCCGATCATAATTCGATCTCCAAACTTGGTACCAATCACGCTGATATTAGTAATTCGGTATTTTTCCACCAATTTCCATATTCTTTATACTTTTGAATGGTTTACAATAAGTCGTCGAGATCAGGGAAGCGAAATCAGATTCTTCCATTGCTATTATAAGCAGTAAATGTCTATAACAAATAAAAAAGTGTCAAAACCTAGGTCAAAACACTATGTAAATGTTTATTACAAATTAATGCTGAAAATACCGGAAGCAATTACCTGTCTCTTATCGCAAAGTAAGTAAGTATCGTTTATACTGTATTGAATTTGTGCTTCGGTCAATATCCCTGATCAATAGGAAATAAGGTTACGACCCCAGATTTAAATAAACATCTAATTTTTGTTTTGTTTTCTTTCCTATACACTCCTACTAATATAAATAGGTGTTTTAGCGATGGACATACTCCCATAATGCTTGGACGACTTGTCACCCTAAATAATGTGTCCTCTCTTACTAGGCGTGTCTATCCTGCCCTATGAACACTTTATTTATTTCTAACAGTGTGGTAGTGACCCATGGAAACAATTGATACATGAAAAAAACCTGTGCATCACCATTATTGTTTTCATTGCCTGCTACTTGTAATACCTCAAAAAATGAAAAGAGAAAAGAACACAATTTACAATTTGCACCATCGTGCTGAAATAAATAATTATAGACTAGTATAATATCGCAAAAACATTTGAAAAGCGCCCTCTTAAATAAAATCATGATTTCAAAAAGACAAACAAAAGTTTGGGTCATAATCATAACTCAAAGATAATTAACGACAAGAAACGGAAAATTATGATACAAAGGGCCATATATCATTTTGAAGTCGTTTCGCCATAACTTTGTGTACATCTTTTTTCTTACTTTATAAAAAATGCGCAGGGCAATTGTTCAGCGTCCATGATTATATAATTTATATTTTAATTTGGCGATCGATTCGTTTATGATTTTCTTTCATATGAGCGGTAAAACGTAAATAACTTCTTACTGACAAAAAATAGGTAGTACATTTAAAACTGTCTATGATTTAATACCGGTTTGCAATCTTTTTCACCATCCGAAGCGGTTGTGTTTAATTTGCGGAGGATTTCGAAAATGTAAAAGAAGTTTTAGATGATTTTCCTTTAGCGCAATTGGGTCTATTTTCAACGCAATGAAGCCGGCCTGAATGTAAATGACCATGCTTGGACTTTCTCATAGCAGCATTTCCACATTTGAAGGAGTTTAGTTAACTGATCCAAATATGCTATAAGCACCTAATAAGATTTTCTCATGTGATACCCACTCTTTTATTAAAAATGTGTTCTCCTCGTATACTTTGAGTGGATTTTGGTTCGATTGTGAACCGTTTTCAAAATTAATTTAAAAGTTAACGATTGAAGCTAGAACGTTTTAATCTGTTCACTTTCGCTTATGATTTTCCTATTAAATTGATGGATTATACAATAGTTTATTGTATTTGATTAATAATAGAGCTTTGTTTTTGACATTCATGCTAAAAAGGCCAACATGAAAATTTCAGCAAGCGGAAATTAACAACCATCTTCGCGGTCATTATTACCTAAATCTCATTTTCTAAGCTACGGGTATTAAAAGAAAAACCACCATTCATTGTCGACAATCTTTGCATAATTACAAATCTTGATAAAACGGTTTTTAATTATAAGCTCCAATTTGCAAGGTAAAAAAGCTAAAAAATAAGTCACACAAATGGTGTTAGCGTTATTTTAGTGTTTCTAACCTACGAAAATTCAATTTCAAAGTAATTTGCAACTAAAATTACTTTTATGAAATTTAAATTAAGTTTAAATAGAATTGTTTCTTTCCGTGGCCTACAAAAAGTGCTTTACACTAATTAACCTATCAGTTATAATGCGAATATTAGGTTACGAAGTGTTTGGTTTAATGTACTACTTTATTAAACAGGTGCTGTTTAAATTTAAAGAAGGTGTAAATGTTAGAGTAGCAGCACTTTAATCATCCATTACGAGAGTTTTATGCCTCTTATTTGCAAACCAAGATGTGGTATAATAAATAATTAACTTACACTGAAGAAGTTTCTTTATGTTGAGGTATCCCATAAACGGAAAAATAAAAAATTATTGGACATCATTGGCACTGGATTCTCATTAAAACGCCAGTTCAAGAGAAAGGAAGATTCCTTTGGTAGGCATGTACCTATATCCTTAAGAACCGGACAAAGACGGAAATTTAATAATTCACGCGTGAACATATTAACCTTTCGGTTATTATAGCCCACATATCTCATCAAAGGGTATATAAGCTAGTCATTATCATCAGTCAGTACGCTGCGCCCTTACTGGCAGCCCTCTAATTAAGTATTACTTCGCATTACGGTAGCATATAATCTCCTGTTAAGATTAAATTCTCTGAGTGGTAAGTTATAAAATCCGATGAATAACAGTGAATTCAAGTGTTGCGACCCTTTTTCAGTGTGTTACATCAAAGGCAAATGCGATCTTTTCGTTCACGTTTCAGTCAGGTATTAATTCGTGCAGAAGAAATAATGGATACGAATCCATTCACGTTAAATGTCACTTAACATGTCCTCTCTAACATATTAATGCAAGGGTATTTTCAAATGTGGTTTTAGTAATAAGCAGAACGAGGTTCATTTCCAGAAAGCTCCCTTTTTCAGGTGAACAAAAAAAGACACTGTTAGTTGTCATTAATGGGCTTTGGTTTATTAGGTTCGCTTTAAGTATGTACTATCGTCTTTAAAACATTTTTTGTTCTAGCTCTTTAAATTCATACATTGAAACTTTCGCGTGTTGTGCATGGCAACACCCTTTTAATCCACGTATTGTTATACTTACGAATATAAATTTTGTTTTCTATTAAGTTTATCATATAGCAGTTGATTTCAATATTTTAAAACTATGAACATAAAAAGAGTTCATATAATATTGATTTATGTTCCACATGACACAAACAACAAAAGTCGCTTGTCTGCTTAGCCGGTAAAAACCAGCGACAAACCTAAGAGCAGGTTTCTAATCTTTGTACAAAAATAATATACCAATGTTTACGGAACGCAATAAAAAAACCACTTTGGGCGCCAAATAAATAATGCTCCGTGGAATGGTATGCAGTCAACCACAGCACCCACAAAACACCTGTCCAGCTAATTCAAACAAATCAAAATTGAGACTTAAAGTTTTTGTAATCTCTTCTGGTACACTTCCGGCATCTGATACAAAAAAAAATCCCAATATTGACTTAAATTAATCATTTGGGAGACTCAGAGGCCTCGATCAACTTCTGAAAATTTCAAAGAATTTATTACAACAAAAAATTGATCTTGAATACCGGAAGGTACATCTAAGATAAAGACTCTATTCGGGTCGCACAATGGGTTCGAATCAAAACACAATTAATTGCTTGATAATAACAAAAATTTATTCCAAAACGCATGAAATGAAATTTAAAACAAAACTCTTGAAAGAAAGGGAAGTTTACAAAGCTTGTTCGGACAAATTACCGAGCACGCAAGCGTTCAATAAATGCTTTTAATTAGCAACCAGTCAGCAAATTAGCTAAAAATTGCACAAAATATACGGAAATGTTTTTAGAAGTGTTGGTAGTAGTGACGGCCTCCCCAGAAAAGGGACCCGTGGACAGAAATCGAAACAAACAACGTTATTGGACAAACTGAATAAAAAATCAAATTATAATTCTGAAGCCAGAAACGTTGTTAAAAATCCTTCATAATTTCAAACGGTAGTCGAATTGGGCCACCTGTTAATCACAGTGCAGACTATTTCCGAGGTGAAACAATTTAACGGAAGCATACCTAATGCAACACGGAACGCAATACGAAGAGATGATTCATGACGAATAATTAGGCGCGTTTTTAGAAAAGTTACCATCTCAAATTTACTAAATTCCCAGTAAAGTAAAATTCCCGGAGAACTCAAAGAAAAGGACAAGGCTTTACATGCAAATAGAAGTACTTTCGCATATTTCTTATTTATGGCGTTACTTGATCGAAATGGGATTTAGGAAAATCGTTTACGATTATACGCTTTTCATTTTTTTTGTAGGCGCCATAAAATAAACGAGTATAATCTCTACATAAATATGAAATTATTGACATACTGTGGCTATTAATTAGAGTGGAAGTAGTAAATCTGATCATAACTGCAGAATATTTAATTGAATTCCCACGCAACCCTAATAATACGACGTTAATCTCTTGAAATGTGTGTAGGATTTCAAAAATTGGTTCGAACCATGGCATGCGATTTCAATGTAAATTGAACGGATATTTTCGTTCCAAATCTAGCTGCCTGTATATTCACGATTTCCTCACATCCTGCTGCTGCTTTCCTAAACAGATAAAGTACCTACACGTAATTCGCGTAGACGAAGAATTTAAATATGTAGTTTATCCCTTTAAGAAGAGAACGTTAAAAGTGTACCTACCGAACAACTTTTGGTTAGAGTAAAATTAAATAACAAAAGTGCGCTACTTGAAACTTTTTCTATTACGCTTTGCACGTTAACAGCCAAGCCGAAGGGTAATTTCAACAGCATAAGAAGCTCAGAAATACTGTACGGGAAGGGGATGTGCCGACAACACCTCGGATGAGGCAAAACAAGATTAGATTCAATTTTCTCAGCGAATAGGTGAGATTTACACCAGTCTCTAAATCTCATTTTCGAAGCTATATCCATCGACCGCTATAAACGCAAAAAAGTTCAATGCATTGAAATTATCTTTTTCCAATGTTATTGCCGCGTTATTGCATATTAAAAGGTTTATAATGGAAAGTAAAATACGTACTCCGCATAAAGCTAACTTAATACCTGATTAGTTTTTACCATCCCAATGCTACGTTAATTATTTGCGACATAAAGCAAATGGTACGTTTTTGTACGCGTAAAATCCCTAATCGATATCCTGCTACGAACCAGAACTAACCTAACATATTAGCAAGAAAATTCAACGCGTCCTAGGTGGAAAATGAACTACGTCGATTTATAACTTGTCATGTTTCTATACAAAACATTTCACAGAAGTTTTAATGGTGTCGGATGTTACAAGAAAAGTTATTGACTTATTGACAAATAGGTAGTATGTCATAATGCGTTTATCAAATTCGCTTTACTTGT